GTACTGGTTGTGCCCTGTACTGTACTGTGTGCCCTGTACTGTACTGTGTTGTGTTGTGTCCTGTACTGTACTGTGTTGTGCCCTGTACTGTACTGTGTTGTGCCCTGTACTGTACTGTGTTGTGCCCTGTACTGTACTGTGTTGTGTTGTGCCCTGTACTGTACTGTGTTGTGTTGTGTCCTGTACTGTACTGTGTTGTGTCTGTACTGTACTGTGTTGTGCCCTGTACTGTACTGTGTTGTGCCCTGTACTGTACTGTGTTGTGCCCTGTACTGTACTGTGTTGTGCCCTGTACTGTACTGCTGTGTTGTGCCCTGTACTGTACTGTGTTGTCTGACTGTGTTGTGCCTGTACTGTGTTGTGTTGGCCCTGTACTGTACTGTGTGAGCCTGTGCTGTACTGTACTGTGTTGTGTCCTGTACTGTACTGTGTTGTGCCCTGTACTGTACTGTGTTGAGCCCTGTACTGTACTGTGTCATGTTGTGCCCTGTACTGTACTGTGTTGTGTTGTGTCCTGTACTGTGTTGTGTTGTGTCCTGTAATGTGTACTGTGTTGAGCCCTGTACTGTACGGTTGTGTTGTGCCCTGTACTGTACTGTGTTGTGCCCTGTACTGTACTGTGTTGAGCTCCTGTACTGTAGTTACCTGTAATTGTACTGTGTTGTGCCCTGTACTGTACTGTGTTGAGCCCTGTACTGTACTGTGTTGTGCCCTGTACTGTACAGTTGTGTTGTGCCCTGTACTGTACTAGTTGTGTTGTGCCCTGTACTGTAATTGTGTTGTGCCCTGTACTGTACTGTGTTGAGCCCTGTACTGTACTGTGTTGTGCCCTGTACTGTACTGTGTTGTGCCCCTGTACTGTACTGTGTTGTGCCCTGTACTGTACTGTGTTGTGTTGTGTCCTATGACTGTACTGTGTTGTGCCCTGTACTGTACTGTGTTGAGCCTGTACTGTACTGTTAGCCCTGTACTGTACTGTGTTGTGCCCTGTACTGTACTGTGGTTGTGCCCTGTATTGTACTGTGCTATTGTCGTTGTGCCCTGTACTGTACTGTGTTGTGCCCTGTACTGTACTGTGTTGTGCCCTGTACTGTACTGTACTGTGTTGTGCCCTGTACTGTACTGTGTTAGCCCTACTGTACTGTGTTGTGCCCTGTACTGTACTGTGTTGTGTTGTGTCCTGTATTGTAATTGTACTGTGTTGTGTCCCTGTACTGTACTGTGTTGAGCCCTGTACTGTACTGTGTTGTGCCCTGTACTGTACTGTGTGCCCTGTACTGTACTGTGTTGTGTGTGTCCTGTACTGTACTGTGTTGTGCCCTACTGTACTGTTGCCCTGTACTGTACTGTGTTGTGCCCTGTACTGTACTGTGTTGTGTTGTGTCCTGTACTGTACTGTGTTGTGCCCTGTACTGTACTGTGTGTGCCCTGTACTGTACTGTGTTGTGCCCTGTACTGTACTGTGTTGTGTTGTGCCCTGTATTGTACTGTGTTGAGCCCTGTACTGTACTGTGTTGTGCCCTGTACTGTACTCTGTTGTGCCCTGTACTGTATTGTCAGTCTTGTACTGTACTGTAGTCCCTGTACTGTACTGTGTGTTGTGCCCTGTACTGTACTGTGTTGAGCCCTGTACTGTACCTGTGTTGAGCCCTGTACTCAGGTTGTGCCCTGTACTGTACTGTTGTGTTGTGTCCTGTACTGTACTGTGTTGTGTCCCTGTACTGTACTGTGTTGTGTCCCTGTATTGTACTGTGTTGTGCCCTGTACTGTACTGTGTTGTGCCCTGTAATTGTACTGTGTTGTGTTGTGCCCTGTACTGTACTGTGTTGTGTTGTGTCCTGACAGGTTAGGTTGTGTCCTGTACTGTACCAGGTTGTGCCCTGTACTGTACTGTGCTGTGTTGTGCCCTGTACTGTACTGTGGCCCTGTACTGTACATGTGTTGTGCCCTGTACTGTACTGGTTGTGCCCTGTACTGTACTGTGTTGTGCCCTGTACTGTACTGTGTTGTGTTGTGTCCTGTACTGTACTGTGTTGTGCCCTGTACTGTACTGTGTGTTGAGCCCCACTGTACTGTGTTGTGCCCTGTACTGTACTGTGTTGTGTTGTGCCCTGTACTGTACTTGAGTAGCCCTGTACTGTACTGTACTGTGTTGTGTTGTGTCTATAGTTGTGTTGCCTGTACTGTACTGTACTGTGTTGAGCCCTGTACTGTACTGTGTTGTGCCCTGTACTGTACTGTGTTTGCCCGTACTGTACTGTGTTGTGTTGTGTCCTGTACTGTACTGTTGTGCCCTGTACTGTACTGTGTTGTGCCCTGTACTGTACTGTACTGTGTTGTGCCCTGTACTGTACTGTGGTTGTGCCCTGTACTGTACTGTCAGGTTGTGTTGTGTCCTGTACTGTACTGTGTTGTGCCCTGTACTGTGTTGTTAGCCTGTACTGTACTGTACTGTGTTGTGCCCTGTACTGTACTTGTATGTTGTGCCCTGTACTGTACTGTGTTGTGCCCTGTACTGTACTGTGTTGTGCCCTGTACTGTACTGTGTTGTGCCCTGTAACATTGTATCAGGTTAGCCCTGTACTGTACTGTACTGTGTTGTGCCCTGTACTGTACAGGTTGTGCCCTGTACTGTGTTTGTTAGCCCTGTACTGTACTGTTTGTGTTGTGCCCTGTACTGTACTGGTTGCCCTGTACTGTACTGGTTAGTCCTTGTACTGTACTGTGTTGTGCCCTGTACTGTACTGGTGTGTTGGGCCCTGTACTGTACTGTGGTGTTGTGCCCTGTACTGTACTGTGTTGTGCCCTGTACTGTACTGTGTTAGTTAGTCCTGTACTGTACTGTGTTGTGCCCTGTACTGTATTGTGTTGTGCCTGTA